ATATATAAATTTGGAAGAGAATCGGATGTTTATTTCGCATTTTATTAGCGATTTTTGGTATTCAAAATTTTGACCCTTTTGTGTGGGAGGTACCAAAAGGGGTGGGCCGATATCCATCATTTTCACACCAGAACTTGTATTAATAAAAATATTGAGATGTGTGAGATTTGAAGAGAATCGAACGCTTGTTTCGCGTTTTATAAGCGTTTTTGTTATTCAAAATGTGGAACCCATTGTGGGGGAGGTACCAGAAGGGGTGGGCTGATATCCATCATTTTCACACCAGAACTTGTATTAATAAAAATATTGGAATGTGTGAAATTGGAAGAGAATCGGACGCTTATTTCGCATTTCATGAGCGTTTTTGTTATTCAAAATGTGGAACCCATTGTGAGGGAGGTACCAGAAGGGTTGACCCGATATATTCCATCTTCACACCAGATGATGTATTAATAAAAATATTAGGATGTACATAATGTGAAGAAAATCGGAAGCTTGTTTCGCATTTTATGAGGGTTTTTGTTATTTAAAAATTTGGCCCCCTTTGTGGGGGAGGTACCAGAAGGGGTGGGCCGATATGCATCATCTTCACACCAAATATTGTATTAAATAAAATATTAGAATGTATAAAATTCGAAGAGAATCGAACGCTTATTAAGCGTTTTATAAGCGTTTTTGTTATTAAAAATATGGAACCCATTGTGGGGGAGGTACCAGAAGGGGTTATCCGATATCCATCATTTTCACATCAAAAAATGTGTTAATATCAATATTGGGATGTGTGAGATTTGAAGACAATCGGATACTTATTTATCATTTTATGAGCGTTTTTTGTTATTCAAAAATTTGACCCTTTGTGGGGGAGGTACCAGAAGGGGTGGGCCGATATCCACCATCTTCCCACCAAATCTTGTGTTCATAAAATTATTAAGATATACGAAATTTAAAGCCAATCGGAAGCATATTTCGCATTTTATGAGCGTTTTTGTTATTCAAAATGTTGACCCCTTTGTGGGGGAGGTACTAGAATTAGTGGTCCGTTGTATCCGTTCTTTATACCAGATCTTGAGTTGGAAGAAATGTTAGGATGTGCAAACTTTTAAGACAATCGGTCTCTTAGTTCACAATTTGTAACAGGTATAATTATTCAAAATTTTGACCCTTTGTGGGAAGGTCCACATGACCTAAAACTGGTGCAAATATCTGGATTTACAAAGTTTGCACAAAAATTGGATGATCTTCCCACTTTCTATGAAGTAAAATGTTGTTGCAAAATTTGCCCTTTTGTGTAGGAAGTATCGGAAGGAGAGGACCTATTTTTCCCTTTTCCCAGTTTGATTTTTTTTTAAATTTTAAAAAAATACCATATTCCTTTTATATTCACCCTTTCCGAAAAAAAGACCCAACCCCCACAACAACATCCTACATCCATGCAGGGAATTATAATATAAAATATTGAAACCAAAATGCTAGTATTTGTTATTCGCATGTATGCAATATATCAACGTGTTGGTGTAAGTGTGAGTGTGGTTAGAAGCTGCAAAAAAATAGAAAGATTGTACAACAAATCCCACCATAAGATATAGCCAACCAAACACCCACACTCTGTGCAAGAAGGGAAGTAAGAAAAAACGCCGAGAACTAAATGCATTTAGTGGATCTCCACTTCCATCTCTTTCACGTTGGGCGCCACCGCATCGCAACTTTCAAATGATGCCATACATTTCCTTTTATGTCAACGATTATAATGAGTGTGTGTAATGTCCTTTTTTGGGTGTTTCAAGAATTATAATATGTGCGATATTTTGTTCTTTGTAAGCCGTAACAAATAAATTTCATAAGCATGCGTTTCATTTTTTTCCCCGTTGATGTCCTTTTTTTCTGCAGGAAAATGGGAGTGAGAAAAAACCAAATGGGTGGGTGTTGCCAGCAACAAACCTGCTTTATGGCCCAAGAATTGTAAAGCCAAGTTGGCGAAAAAAAATTAAAATTATTAGCTACTCCCTTCCCCAGCCAAATTTAAACTAGGCTTCTTCCTCCAAAAAAAAAATAGCTCCCCAAATTTTTTCCAGCTGCTGTTTTTCTATCCTGCGGCAAATGCGCATAATGAGCGCGTATTACACATTTTTGCATATGCAGTTGTTTTAAAAATGTCCTTTATGTCACAAGGATGGTAGAAGAAAAAAAAACAGAATCCATTTAACAAGGGAGGGGTCCCAGAGCCGTTTTTTTTTCTTTTGCTGACCAGATTTTCCATTTGCCAAAGTTTTGGTAACGCGTTTTTTCCTCCTCCAAAAAAACGAAAAAACAAATGGTTAATGTACATGTCCTTCTACTTTTTTTTTATTTTCTTCATTTCTTATCCTTGCCTCCTTGTTTTTATTAAGCGTAAATCCTTTCCCGTTTAGATAATGATATGTGGTTACAGTTACTTTGTTCAAAATTATTCAAAGGTTTCGTTAAGCTTGTCGCAGAGCCCCCCAAAAAAAAATACAACATTCGCAAATAAATTTTACTGGACATATTTTTTAAAGGTTGTGGAAGGAGGGTGTGGGGTAGTTCGTTCTACATTAATTCTCAACTGGGCGGAGTTTTTTTCGAATATTTTTTTCTCAATGTCCATAAATAATTTGCTAAGAGATGTAGACATAATTATAAGTGGATGTAAAAAAAGGGCTGGATTTAAAGTCCATTATAAAAACAAATGGATGTTTAAAAATAAAATAAAAAAATAATAATAAAAAACAACAAAAATAAATATATTTTTTTATAAATAAATAAGAATATATTTAAAAATCCCCCTTTGTGGGGGAGGTACCAGAAGATATTGGCCGATATACGCCATCTTCACACCAGATCTTGTATTAATAATAATATTGGGATATATGAAATTTGAAGAAAATCGAAAGCTTATTTCGCATTTTATTAGCGTTTTTGCTATTCAAATTTTGGAACCCATTGTGGGGGAGGTACCAGAAGAGGAAGGCCGATATTCATCATCTACACACCAAATTTTGTGTTAATAAAAATATTCATATATATAAATTTTGAAGAGAATCGAATGATTATTTCGCATTTTATGAGCGTTTTTGTTATTCAAATTTTGGAACCCATTGTGGGGGAGGCACCAGAAGGGGTAGGCCGATATTCATCATCTTCACACCAGATCTTTTTTTAATAAAAATATTGATATATATAAAGTTTGAAGAGAATCGAATGATTATTTCGTATTTTATGGGCGTTTTTGTTATTCAAATTTTGGAACCCATTGTGGGGGAGGTACCAGAAGGGGTGGGCCGATATCCATCATCTTCACACCAGATCTTATAATAATAACAATATTGGGATATGTGAGATTTGAAGCCAATCGAACGCTTATTTCGCATTTTATGAGCGTTTTTGTTATTCAATATTTTGGAACCCATTGTGGGGGAGGTATCAGAAGGATTGGCCGGATAGCTACCATATTCACACCAGATCTTGTGTTAGTAAAAATATTGCGACGTATGAAATTTGAAGCCAATCGGACTCTTAGTTTACATTTAATGAGCGTTTTGGTATTCAAAATTTTGGAACCCATTGTGGGGGAGGTACCAGAAGGGGTGGGCCTATGTATCCCAACTTCTCACCAGATCTTGTATTAATAAAAATATTAAAATGTACAAAATTTAAAAGGAATCGAACGCCAATTTCGCAATTTATTAGCGTTTTTGTTTTTCAAATTTTGGAACCCATTGTGCGGGAGGTACCAGAAGGGGTAGGCCGATGTCCATCATATTCACACCAAACATTTCATTAATAACAATATTGGGATATGTGAGATTTGAAGCCAGTCGAACGCTTAATTCGCATTTTATGAGAGTTTTTGTTATTCAAGTTTTGGAACCCATTGTGGGAGAGGTACCAGAAGGGGTGTCCCGATATCCGTCATCTTTACACCATATCTTCTATTGATAGAAATATTGGAATGTATAAAATTTGAAGCCAATCAGAAGCTTATTTCGCATTTTGTGAGCGTTTTAATTATTCAAAATTTTGACCCCTTTGTGGGGAAGGTACCAGAAGGAAAGGGCCGAAATATCCCATTTTCACACCAGATCTTTACTTAATAAAGATATTGGGATATATGAAATTTGAAGAGAATCAGAAACTTATTTTGCATTTTATGTGTGATGGTTATTCAAAATTTTGAATCCTTTGTGGGGGAGGTTCCAGAAGTAGTAGTCCGTTCCATTCGTTTTTCATACCAGATCTTGTGTTGACAGAAATATTGATATTCGCGAAATTTGAAGACAATTGGACCTTTACTTCAAATTTTATGAGAGTTGTAATTATTCAAAATTTTGACCCTTTGTGGGGGAGGTACTTGACGGAGTGGGCCGATATTGTCTATTTTCGCACCTGTCCTAGCACTAATTCAAATATTAGGATTTGCAAAGTTTGAACAAAATTGAATGATCCTCTCTTGAATATATGGTAAATTATTTTCTGGGAAAATTTTGATCTTTTGTGGGGGAGGTACCCGAAGGAGTGGGCCGATATTGCCCATCTCCTAACTCAATCTAAGTTTGATAATAATATTACGAAGTACCTAGTTTGGACCACAACGGATATTAACTTCAAGAGTTATCGTGGCCACCAGCCACACAAATAGACCGAAGGATATCCCTAGATCGATTCCAAATGTCCTGAAACGGATTTTTTTCAAAGAGACTTAGGCTCTAAATCTATTATTTTGAAGAGTCACGTATTGGTGGTGCCCTCTGTAGGCTTTGGGTATAAAAAAACATTTGTTATCATTTTCAATATTTTATATTTCTTTAAATAAAAAGGACTTCTTTGTAATCCCTAATTTTTATCTCCCAGTTTTCAGACTCTCCCCCAACTCAACTTAATTTTTTTAAATCCTTATCCTAAATCACTTGCTTTTTATGATTACAATTACAATTGTTGTTTTATTTCTATTTTCATTCCATTTCTTTTTCTTCTTTTTTTTGCAGAGCCTCTAATTTGGATGGCCACTTCTTTGCAAATAATCCACATTTGGAATTACGACAATTACGCTGGCATCCGGCCTCACCCACGGATTCACATTTGCTTGTTTTGCTGTCGGACAATACCATAAGGTGAGGTTTAGAGTCTAACAACACAAATGACAGACAAAAAAGAGTGGAGAAAAAGGGTTTTCAGGGCTTAAGTGACAATATTTATTAGCAACTGCTAATTTTCTAATTCGCTTGCACCTAAAAGTATGCTTTTATTTTTTTCTTTTTGTTTCTATTTCTAATTTTTTAGAGTCTATGACAATGCCTCTTTGCGCCATGTTTGGCAAGTTGGCCCTTTGCCCCTGAAACATGATGGCAGCCTGAATCCTTCCACCGTATATGCCCTGGGAGAGGCTGCCGTGGATTTTGACATAGCCCCAGCTGTTAATGTGGCCGAAATGCAAGTGAATACCATGAATGCCACCATAAACAAGGATCAAAGTGTTCTCGTGAATAGTACCAGACTTAATCAGAATACCAATAGGACAATAATTGGTGAGACAACAAAGGTAAGTGAGGTGAAATTTCATCGGAGAAGAAAACTAAATTTAAATAATAATTTGTTGCCTACTTTTAGGTTAGCTCCAATAAATTACCCGAAAAGATTGAATGGCCAATTGTAATCCTAAGGGAAAATGGCAATATTTATGTCCTGATGTCTGGTCTGGATACTGAGAGGTAAGCCTTTGATTTATGATTTTTTTGAAATGTTATTAATCTATTGTTGTTTTAATTTTTTGTATAGACCCCGTTTACAGGGCCCCATTACCATCACCCCTTCCACAGTGGATAATTATGGCTTGGATAGTTGTTCGATTTTGGTCATACCCTCACTGCCACCCACCTTGGTTATTGCCGAGACCAATGGTAAACTGCATCATGCCCTGTTTTTGGAAGCTGAAAATGCCGAGGATGTAAGTTGGGCGTTATGTTCCACTTTCAGGGTTTCTATGTTTAAAATCCGCTTTGGGCGTTCTTTATAAATAAGTCCTACACGGGTTTCTGTAGAAAGAATATACATCCAGGTCTACGTGGAGGAAAGACTAAGAAAATCATACATCTTCTCAAATATAATATTCTAAAATAATAGTTCTCCTACAGATTCTATTCAGTTCTCCTACAGTTTTTTAAAATCTTCATCTTTTTTGCTAAGAGGACCTCCTGAAAGAACATTTAGAACACCATCCATGATCTTCGGCGACTAGGAGATCTCAAGTTTATTATGCTAGAATACCACTTTTCAGTTCTCCTGCAGATTTTAGAAATCTTCCTCTTTTTTGCTAAGCGGACCTCCTGAGGGTTTTAATACATAAAATACTTCTTCAGACCTCATTGTAATATAAAATCTCTAAATCGTTTAAATTAATTGAACCTTCCCGGAATTTGAATTTTAGAAATACAAAGGATTTAAGTTGGACCCTGATTTCCTTCATTGATGCTGCATGGCCTTCATGGATAGAAGATCTAGAAAACCATCCATGATCTTCTGCGACTAGGACATCTTCTCAAATCTAATATTCTATAATACCCCTTTTCAATTCTCCTGCAGATTTTAGAAATCTTCCTCTTTTTTTATTTTATTTATTTATTTATTTTTTTTTTTTTTGCTAAGAGGACTTCCTGAGGCCTTTGTTAGATAAAATACTTCCCCAGATCACATTGAAATATGAAATCTTTAAAATTTAAATTAATAGAACCTCCTCGGAAATTCGAAAGCTATAAATACAGAGAGTTTAAGTTGAATTCTGCTTTCCTTCATTGATGCTACATAGCCTTCATGGATAAAATATCTAGAAACCCATCCATGACCTTCTGCGACTAGGACACCTTCTCAAATCTAATATTCTAAAATACCCCTTTTCAGTTCTCCCACAGTTCATAGAAATCTTTCTCTTTTTTCCAGAAGGAACTCCGGAGGGCTTTGTTACATAAAATACTTCCTCAGATCTCAGAAATATAAAATCTTTAAGGTTTATATGAATAGAACCTCCCCGGAATTTTAAAGCTATAAATACAGAGAAATTAAGTTGGTGCTACATTGCCTTCATGGATAGAAGATTTAAAAAACCATCCATGACCTTCTGCGACTAGAGCATCTTCTCACATCTAATATTTTTGAATATCCCCTCAGTTTTCCTATAAGTTAAGGAATCTTCCTCTTTTTGGATAAGAGAGCCTTCATAAAATACTTCTTAAGATCTCATTGTAATATAAAATTTAAATGTTCAAAGAATAGAACCTTCCCAGGATTTTGAAAGCTGAAAATACAGAGGAATTAAGTTGAACTCCACTGTCCTTCATTTAGGCTTCTTAATAGCTTTATTCCGATCTTATATGGAGTTTTCCAGTTTTCCAGTTTTCTATGAAAATGAAGACTCCTCAGTACTTTACTCCTAATTCCTGAACTCCACTTTTGTTCATTTAGACTTCTTAAAAGTTACCTTCTGATATTTTATGGACATACGGCTTCTTCCACTTTTCTATGAAAATAAAGACTCTTCAGGTCTTAATGGGTGAAAACCCTATTGCTTTCTATAAATAAGGAACTTTTCTATGAAAAGAAATCCTCCTTAGGTCTTATTGAATGAAAATCCTATCTATTGCTTTCTATAAATAAGGTACCTCATCTTATCCGTTACCACTTTAGAAAATCTAGACGTAGAAGAAACCTCTAGTTTTTTTTTTGTCTAGAAAACCTCGTAAGATTTTCGTTGAATTCAGGTGTCCTTTGAAGACAAAGTATTTGAGATTTTATTTTGGGAGCTATAAAACAGATAATTTAATTTGGATCATAACTTTCGACTTTAGGGCTTTTTGAAACATTTATTGCTCCAATTATGTTACTTACCTCTTCAGGAAAAATATTTTAGGCCTACAAAACCTCATAAGGTCTTCGTTGAATTCAGGTGTCCTTTCAACACGATCTTTTTTTAATTTTTTTTTTTGGGGGGGGAGGTATTTTTCTTTAGAGCTCGTGGTTTTCTTGTGAATGGAATATGCATCCCCTTCAGAAAACCTAGATGTTGAAGAAACCTCCAGTTATTTTTTTGTCTAGAAAAGCTCCTAAGGTCTTCGTTGAATTTAGGTGTCCCATGAACACAAAGTCTTTGAGGTTTTATTTTGGGAGCTAAAAATCAGATAATTTCAATGGGTATCCTACATCTCCTCTTTAGGGCTTTTTGGAACATTTATTGTTCCACTTAAACTCCCATGTTAATAATAGTTATTCCCAATAGCTATTTAGATTTTCAAGGATTCTTTGAGCAAAAAGTGTCTCAGAATGAATCCTCTCGTTAGAGTTTATGGTAGCTAAAAATCCCGAGCATTTGTGTTGGGATTTTTAGAGAACATATTTCTTTTCTTTAGTCAAAAGCCTATTTTGGTCTTCTATGGAAATAAAAATTCTTCAATTTTTCTATGCAAAGAAAGCCTCTAAGGATCTTCACGAATGTAATTGGCATCCACTTCAAAAAACCCTAGAGATTGAAGAAACCTTCAGTTATTTTTTTTTGTCTAGAAAACCTCCTAAGGTCTTCGTTGAATTCAGGTGTCCCATGAACACAAAGTCTTTAAGGTTTTATTTTTGGGGCTAAAAAGCAGATAATTTCAATTGGATCCTACCCTTCTTGCTTAGGGTTTTTAAAACATTTATAGCTCCAATTAAACTGCCATGTCAATAATAGTTATTCCTGATAGTTATTTAGATTCTCAAGGATTCTTTGAGCAAAAAGTGTCTCAGAATGAATTCTCTCGTCTAAGTATCCCGTGCAATTGAGTTGGGATTTTTAGAGACCATATTTTTCTATTCAAAAGCCTATTTTGGGCTTCTATGAAATTAAAAGTTCTTCCATTTTCCTGTGAAAATAAAGCCTTTTAGGATCTTCACGGATTTCTATTGATAGGGCACCTCTTATCGTAGACCTCTGTAAGTCTTCTAAATTTAGAAAATGTATTCAGTTATTCTATATCCAGAAAAACTTCTAAGAGCTTCTTTGTATACAAGAATTCTTCTGGTATCCTTTAAGGATAAAATCTCTATGGTTTTATATCCCTGCTTTTGGAGTTTGAAAATGTAAGATATGTTAGCTAGGCTTGGATGTTTCAAATGAGTCTCTGGTATTCTTTAAAAAAGTCTTACGAGTTTCTAGGGATGGAATACTTCTTTAGATCTTCTACGAACAGAAAATTATTAAGGAAACTTTCACTAGTCCTCTGGTACTAAAAAAACCCCTGATGTTTACGAAACTTCTCGCAGTCTTCAGGGACCAATATCTCTATTTCTTTATTTCTTTAGGACTCACATACATGGAAGAAGTATATAATGTATGTCTTTAAATCTTCTAAGGGATTCAAAATCTCTTCAGGTCTTCTTGAAACATAAAAACACTCCCAGGATTCTCAAGGCTTAGCAGAATATTAATCTTCAGTTTTTCTTTCTGTTTCCATATTTTTAATCATTTTAATCGTCTTTCCATTTTCCTCCAGTCCTTCAATGAAGTCGATGACAGTCTGATTATACATCCCTGCGAATGGACCGTACATGTTTTGGAAACAGTTGAGCTGGAATTGGGTTTACCCAAGGATGATGTAAATCAACCCTACTTTTGTCCCATTTATCTTAAGAGGTGAGATTTGGATATATTTAAATACATTTTTTGAAAAGAAATGGAACGTCCTTCTTATCACCATTTCCAGAGATTTCATCAATGAGCTACGTTATTTTGCCTATCACAATACCGGTCTGCATGTTATCACGGTTAACTTTATTGGAGAATTACAAAGGTTTTTGGAAAATGAAGGTAAGATAGAATAATATTCCTTAAAAATAAATTCTGAGGTGTCCTTTTATTCCCTTCCAGTTGATAGCGACATAACCACTCTCTCCACTCCCTCACATGCTGAATATTTGGTTTGTACCAAAATCGATACTGGAGACAATATCAATGCCGTTCTAGGCTTCGTTTTGCTGCAAATGCCTTCGTGTATTGTCTTGCTATTGGCCAGTGGCCAGGTTATTACCCTCAAACTTGTCATAGATGCCAAACTCCTTTTGGATTCACAAACAAAATCCAAAGATGACATGTCTCTCCAAAAGACTGATGATGCCAATCAAAATCAATTGAATCAATTGCTAATGGGACCCTCTTTTGTCGATCACATACGCAATATGTTGAAACGTAGTGTTACCCAACCCATCCTATCGCTGGATAAGAGCAATAATCCATCACCCCAAGAATGCTATGAACTTTTGACGCAGGCCATAGAGGTATTGCGTACACAGTATTTGAAACGTCATGAATTGGTTAAGGCCGAAGTTGCTAAACGCATACACACCATTAAGTTGTGCCGTGACCAACAGAAACAAGATATTGCCGATTTGGAGGCGGAACGTGAAGAAATCCGGGATAAGGCCCACAAATTGGCTGAACGCTTTGAGGAGCTCAGCGATAAACAGGAGGTCTTAACGAAAATGTGAGTAAAATTTTAGTTGGAAGCAATAACTTAAGTAATGCTGAGTGGGCACACAAAGTGACCTGGTGTTTTGAGGAGCTAAGTGTTAAGAGGTCATAACTAAAAATGAGATAATTTTTGGAATTTTATGTATAAGATAGCTGAGCAGGTTTCTGACCTAGCTGGAAATGGGTTTATATATTTAAAATGGAAGCTCTCCCGGTAGTCAAAATACCAATTCGAGCTATAATGAAAATATAGCCATCAAGAAAAATGCCAGCGATTTAATTCCATTAAACATTTTTATTCTTTCTAAATTCATATTAGGGCTGTAGAAAAGGTGCACACCACCGTTTTCCCAATTTGCATTTTAGAAATGGGAATCATCTGCCTGTCCCCGTTTTGGAAATTAATTAGTTAGTTTGAATACTATATCAATATGTTATGCACTTTTCCTCTTTCTAGCCTTTTAATAAAGAATTTTTCGATATTTTCTAGGAAAAATCCACATCTTCAGATGTGAGAATTACCTACAGACCCTATTTGAAACAAAGCTTACTTAATTTATATTCTTTTTTAATATTTTTTTTTTTATTTCTCTCATTCCCTAGCTGCCAGGATCTAATGCGCCAGGCCAACACCTGTTTGCCCAGCAATTCATTGGCCGAAAAGGAATTCGCCCAGGAGGTAGAACGCATCAATAAGATGACCAAAAACATGACCAATGCCCTGCAGAAATGCAAAGAATCCATCAATAAACAGAGTTACCATGTGAGTGCAATAATGAAAATTCAAATGGAAATTTATTTAATATTTTATATCCTTATTTTCAGATTGCCAAATATCAAGAAAATTCCAAAAAGAAAAACTTTGAATTGCCAGAAACTCAGGAGAGAACAATCAAAGAGATCCTATTGCAAATGTAAGTAGGGGGAAGGGGAGGTGATTTATATATGATCTACGGGAATAGACTCTAGAGGAAAAAATTTGAAGGATTTGAAGGCAAAACAGAGACCAGAAAGGAGTCAGTTTTTAGACAACGTTTCACTGCAAAAAGCCGTCAGTTTTTGGAGACATCTCTCGGAATCGAATGTAACCAAATTTAATATGAAAAATATATTTAGTTTAGACACGAACCATATGTTCCAATTCCACTTCTTGATGTTAGCATTGACACAACTCATCCAAACACTGTTTCATATTCCATTTGTTTCTTTTATAAAATCCCCTGTTGAAAGTGTTCTACAGAAGTGTTATACCACAGCCAAAGTAAACGGATAGGTTTTGCAGAATTTAATGTAATTTGGCACAGTAGTTTTTTAAGTAGACAGGATACTAAATTACCAAGTATTGTCAAGGTAGATACATTTCTTGATACAACTCCCTTTGAGAAGTACACCAGAAAATGGAGTTTTTGTTGCCTTTATACCATGTTTTCCCACCAAAGTGAATCTAATTCGCTACCTTGACTTCTTTGAGGATGGAGAAGCTGCTTGCAAAAAAGTATTAAATTGGATACACTTTTTGGTATAGCCCCCCTTGGGAGTTAACGCCAATTTTACGAATTTCGCGGTTCTTGGGCACATTTTCCAACAGAATTGGCTTTAATTGCGCACAATCGTATATTTTTAGATAGGAAACTATTTCCTAAATATTATTAAGGTTGGTCCATTTTCTGATATAGCCCCCTTTGAAAAGTACACCCGATTTTAGGATTTTGGCAGTTTTGAACCATGTTTTCCAACCGAAATTGATCTAAATTGCTATCTTCACTTCTTGGAGCATAGGGAGCCTGCTTACAAAAAAATTATCATTGTGGGTCTATTTTTAGATATAGTAACCTTTGGAGGTCAGTCCCGATTTCAGGTAAATTGAGGTTCTCGGACACATTTTCCAACAGAATTGGCTGTATTTTGGCACAAGCGTATTCTTGTAGATAAGAAACTTATTTGTCAAATATTATCATGGTGGGTCCATTTATTGATATAGCCCCCTTTAAAAATACACCCGATTTTAGAATTTTTGCAGTTTTTTACTATGTTTTCCAACCGAAATATGATCTAAATAGCTATCTTCACTTCGGGGGGCATAGAGAGCCTGCCTGCAAAAAGTTATGCATGTGGGTCAATTTCTAGGTATAGCCCCCATTGGAAGTCAGGCCCCATTTCACGCAAATTGAGGTTCTCGGGCCCATTTTCCAACAGAATTGGCTGTTATTTGGCACAAGCGCATACAAGCACATAAGAAACTAATTTGTTAAATATTATCAAGGTGTGTCCATTTCTTGGTATAGCCCCCTTTGAAAAGTACATCCGATTTTAGGATTCTGGCTGTTTTGAACCATGTTTTCCAACGGATATTGCTCCAAATTGCTATATTCACTTCTTGGAGCATAAAGAGCCTGCTTGCAAAAAATTATCCTTGTGGATCAACTTTTAAGTATAGCCCCCATTAGAAGTCAGGTGCGATTTCACGTAAATTGAGGTTCTCGGACACATTTTCCAACAGAATTGGCTGTATTTTGGCACAAGCGTATCTTTGTAGACAAGAAAATGATTTGTTAAATAGTATCAAGGTGGGTCCATTTATTGATATAGCCCCCTTTGAAAAGTACATCCGATTTTAGGATTTTTGCCGTTTTTGACCATGTTTTCCAATCAAAACTGATCTAAATTGGTATCTTAACTTTTTGAATCATAGCGAGCCTGCTTGCAAAAAATTATTCATGTGGGTCAATTTTTATGTACAGCCCCCATTGAAAATCAAGCCCTATTTCAAGTAAGTGGAGGATCTCGGGCCCATTTTCCAATAGAACTTGCTGTAACTTGGCATAAGTGTATCTTTGTAGATAAGAAACTAATTTTTGAAATATTATCAATGTGGGTCCATTTATTGATATAGCCCCCTTTGAAAAGTATATCCGATTTTAGAATTTTAGCAGTTTTGAACCATGTTTTCCAACCGAAATGCATCTAAATTCGTATCTTAACTTCTTGGAGCGTAGAGAGCCTGCTTGCAAAAAATTATCCATGTGGGTCAATTTTTAGGTATAGCCCCCAATGAAATTTAACCCCAATTTCACTCATTTTGCGGTTCATGGGCACACTTTCCAACAGAATCGGCTGTAATTTGCAACAAGCGTATTTTTGTAGGTGGGAAAACAACTTGCTTAGTATTTTTATTGCATTGGTCCGCATTGTTCCCAACCTCCAACATAACATAACCTTAAATTTTAAATATTTTTTTATCCCCAAGTATTTATGTAAAACTAATATGTCTTCTCCCCATTTTTTTCGTTGCAGGACTGCCGAAATCGATGGTCAAATCAAAGAAGTCAAACGCATCTCAAAAGTCGTGGGCATCTAAGTGCCATAAATTCTCCATCCCCATTTTTTGTTTCTTAATCTTAAAAAAAAAATAAATCCTAAATTAAAAATAAAACACCAACAATTATTATTTTTCTTTTTCTTCTTCTTTTTAGCTTTCTTACGTAGTTTATTATACTTTCTTATATGACTAACAATTAGTGGTTTCAATTCTTGACGTTTATGTTTACGCCACGATATCGACAATAATATTAAAGAGTTAACATAAAAAAATAATCTAAAGAAATAGTTTTCATCGTTGCCCTGTTGTTGTCCGTCCCAGTAGAAATGTTCACGGAAACTATCATAGACAGCGTTCATGCACAAATATGTTAAGATGGTGGCACAACGTTGCATGTCCAACCATTTGCCACGGGCCAACAGAGCCAATATGGCCTCATGGGCATAATCTACAAGTCAATGATCAATGAGGGGGCCCCAAAACATTTTTGAGATCTTTGTTTCGTCCTCGGTTAGGAAGTATTGACGACCCAAATGGACGAATTCCTTCAACGACAATTGGCCATCGCCGTTCTTGTCTATCACAGCAAATGAAATGGCGGCATCTTCATTGGAGAGCCCCAAACAGCGGAAGAATAATTTGTATTGATCCAAATCCAAGTAACCGGAGTGATCATAATCCACAGCCTGAAAAGGGGGAAAAGGAAACAATAATATTAAACAATTTTAAAACACAATTTTCCTTCAAAACTTACCTTAAACAAATATGGCAAAAATCTGCCCACAGATTTGAACATTTTCTCATCATTCAAACGATGATGGAGATCTGTCATAAACTGTTCGGCATTGACCAAATTGTAGGGAGTAATCTCACCGAACTGTTCCATCCAGGTTTCTTCCATAACCTTTAGGAATTCCGCCGACAACTCCTCGTTCAAATGACCCAAATCGGTAAAACGTTTGTGCAACAATTTGAAATCATCAAAAGAAATTACACCATCACGATTGACATCCAAGATGCGATGTAGGGTACGCATTTTACGGCGCCAGAATTCGGTATCACCCTGTAATGAATAGGAAAAAATCAGAAGTTATTACAAAATTTCACTTTGATTTCTCTCAGCTCCCAAAAACGTATAACCAAAGGCTAATGACTTCTCCACTGACCGGAATATTTAATTATGTTTTGTAAATACAAAAAAAAACAAAAAAGCAATACAACTTCATTAAAAATGCAAGTCATGAGAGTGTGTGTGTATAATTTGTTGTTGTGTAAAATTTTGTAATTACAACAACGATTAAGCCACGCGTAACAGATAGGTTAAAAAAACAAACAATGTTCGCAAAATATACTTTTATTAATAGAAGACCCTTAGATGGTCTTTTGTTTATAGAAGAGCCCCTTTCGATATTTTTAAATCCCCTTTTCTCTAAAATTTTATATGATCGGAAAAACTTATTTTTAAAACCTTTGAAAGGTCCCCCAGATTTTTCTTTACCCCCTCTGAGACTTCTTGAAAGACTAAAAATTAGGTTAAAGGTCGGGCAATTTTTCCAATCCCCCATAAAAAATTCCTTTCAGACTTCTCGACGGACTGAAAATTCTGTTAAAGGTCGGAGAGACTTCATAATGCCCCATAAATGGGCCCTTTCTAAAGTCTAAAAAAATCATAAACGCTTTAAAAAAATTTTAAGGTCGAGAATATTCGCTGAGACCTATTAAACAATTCAAATGCCCACAAGCCCTTAAAAACCTTGCAAGGAACAATACAATCTTTCTAAAAGACCTTTGAGGGTCCTTCATTTAGGAAGAGGTCTAAGGGGTTAATTAGAGTCTGGAAGGCATTTGAAAGATTGAAAAGATCATCAATAGACTTGTGCCGAATGTGTCTAATCCTTTAATGCCCTTCAGCAGAACTTTTTAGGAAAAGGTTTATGTGAGAATCATTCCAATATCAATATGGCCACTATAAAAGATTTTTATGGGACCTCTCATAAAAAAAGAGGCATAGAAAATTTTTCAGAAGTCTAAATGGCTTTTCTGAGGGATCTTTGGATCAACAAGAAGAACTTTTAATGCTTTTTATAGTTAATTCAAAGGCAAAGGAGAATAAAAAATCCTATAAAAAGTCTAAAGCACATTTCGTTGATAATTCCAAAATGCCCTTGAAGTCCTAGAAAAACTGTAGAAGGTTTCCTATTGACAGAAGACTTAATAACAGATATGTGAAGTGCCTTATGCAATGGAAAACCTACTTGAAGAGCGCATATAATATAGAAAACATTTCTGGAGGTCATCATAAAAAAGACCCGCAGGAGATGCATCTATCTTTGTAGTTTTTCTTGTCTGGTCATCTTTCTTATCTCTTTATAGGCCTTCATTGGCTCCTCCTTTGTTGCAGCTTTAATTTCGCCTCTTTTATTCAAGGATAACAGTTCATTCACCTAGCCCTACTACCCGTTTTCTTTGTTCTGCTCCATTACAATAATTAAAAACTCAATTTCAATTTCAATTCCAGTTCCCATCCTTTGTCCACCTCCCCCAAATCGAATTCACATGCTTACCTTTTGACTGTATTTCTTGTGTAGATCTTGACGTTTGCGTTCATATTCATCATCTGAATCCGAATCACTGTCACTCTCCTCATCGTCTTTCTGTTGGCGTTTTAGATTTTTCACTTTCTTATTGTAAATGCCGGTGCTGGGAGTGACGGTACTGTTCGGTGGCACCGGTGTCTGTAAATACTGGGGTGTTTGGCGTATTAAAGCTTGACTGGATGTTGAAATTGTGCGTGAACTGCGACTGGGCTGTAAGAAGATGAAGAAAATTAAAACAATAAATAAAGGTATTAAGAAATATGGGTATTGAAAATAAACAATGAAAATCAAGAGCGAGGAGAAGGTAAACCATGATCGCTTAACAAATTAAACTAAAACACTAATGGGGTATTTATTTAAGCAGTTGTTTGTGTATGACACACTGATATTGGGTAAATATCTGTTGATTTGGGACAGATTGTTTGTTTTATCTTAGGATGACTTTTATTTACTTTTGAAGTTGGGGTTGAATGTGGCAATATTTGGATTTTAAAATTTGGTAATACGATAAGAAGTGTGGATAGACAAATATTAGGTAATTAAATTAATAAATATTATTATTTGTTGAATTTGAAGACTAATTATTGGCACTTGCCTGCTTCCTAGTCTGTCACTTGTTGAAGACTTTTTATAACTTACGATCCAAATTTTTTCGGGCGTGATTTTAATTATTGGAAGCTCTTTGGCATTTATGTGGATATGATTACTTTCCCGAATAATTTGCCTTTTGATAATAAAATGATTTAAAATTTAACTTCAATTATCTATAAATGATGACAATTCTCTCTCTTCCTTTCTCTATGTCGCTCTCTCGCTCGTTAAGGGTTTCATAGTTTAAACTTTATTCATTAGAGGAAGAAACTAAACAAACATCTTATTTTTAGAATTATAAAACAACCTTATAATCCAAATTTTGTCGGCCTGTAATGTTGTTTATTAAAAAATCTTTGGTATTTGTGGGAAAGTTATTATTTTCTTGATCGATATTCCCATTAAATTAACTTTAAATAATAAAATTTCTGTCTTCCTCTCTCTTCCTCTTTCTCATTAAGGGCTCTGTAGTTTGAACTTTTCTTTATTAGAGGAAGGAACTAAAGAAAAAAAAATTATGTTGTTAATTATTGGAAGATCTTTGGTATTTGTGGAAAAATTATTATTTCCTGATCATTTTTCCAATTAAATTATCTTGAAAAAATACATTTCTCTCTTCCTTTCTCTACCTTTCTCGTTTATTGTTCTATTGTCTAAGCTTCCTTAATAAAAAAAGGAAGGAACTAAACAAAAGTCTAATTATTAAGCAACCGGTAAATTGTTCCATGTCTGAAAAAATAAAACATATTTTAAATTTCCATAAATTATACAAATTTTGGTATGGGCTTTCAGTATACACCAAAGAGACATTTAGAAAAAAAAAACGAGTTTTTCGACTTAAATGCCAATAAATAAATAAAACGTGTGCTGTTGTTTATGGAAACTGTCGGGACAAACTTTAACAAATAAGCTGAGGTGGGTATTGTTGGTTTTGTTTTACTTATTTTTTTTTTTTTTTGAATATTTTACGCCGTATTTTGGCACAGTTTGAAAAAAAAAGAAAACAACAACTTCACCCAAAAAAATGAAGAAAACAAAAAATAACCGACTGAACCTCTGTTTTTTTTCTTCTTATTATGTTTTTTCTTTCTGTTTCGAAGAGGCGCGTTCATTCGCTCTATGCATAATAATAACCTTGTTTTTACCTGGCCGTAAATTGAGAATGTGAAAGAATCCAAAAAAGAATAGATTTGGCACACAAGTAGTTTGGTGGTGGTTGTGGTGGTGCTATCATTTAGAAGAAACCTTGGTAGAATCTCATTATGATACGGAATTGATAATTAGCGAAAAAAGAAGCAAAAATACAATATTAATTTCCTCTTTATGTTGTCGATTGGTTTCTTTCAATATTTCGGCAGACATTTAGGTAGGTATTGAAATTTTGGTTGTTGTAAAGCTATCCAAAATTGATAAGATTATCATATAACTCCAAAAGGTTATCATATAACTCTAAAATAATGTGAGTTACTGGGAGTATTGTGTACTGAAAATTTTCATTTTCCTTGTTCATTTTTAGGAACTCATCATAAAAGAAACTGTTCATAGGGAAGGGAAGCAAGACCTCATCCTCACGGGTTTAAAGAAGACAATTTTTTATAAAAATGAATTCTTTATAACTTTAGTTTGGCTTGACATCAATTGAAAACTCCAATTTTTAGTGTGTCATCGACAAGAGAAAACAATTTCTCATTTGATTTGGAGAGGAAGAGAGAAACAAGAGGCAAGAATTCGTGTCAGCCAGAGAGTAGAGATGCAAATGTGAGAATTTTAAAGTGCTTTCAATATATATTTTAATGATTTAAAATTGTATTTACTCTTTTTGTAATAGGTGCAATAAATTGAACTATTTTTTGAAAATAAAGCGGCAGACGCGGTTTCGAATCAAGTTACATGTATATACATATATCAAATAGTGGAACATAGCGATGGGATTGCCTTTTGCATGTAAAATGCAAGGATGAACAAGAAAGAGAAGCGACGGAATATTTTCAACATTTTCTGTGTCACTGCCAGATGCTCTTCGACAAAAGACTTGGGCTTATGAAAAACAAGTCTTACCTCCTTCCCACCAACATTTTATTTCAAGAAGTACAAATGGATCCCAAGATCTTAAAGGTTTCACTTGCGAGGCACCGATCTCTCAGGAATATCAATCTCGAAAACACATAGTCAAGGACTTAGCCAAAAGAAGCCTTTAAATAGCAAACCTTGTATGAAAAGAGAGAAATGATAAGAGATCTTCTTTTATTTGTGTAAACAGGAAAAACAGTCGCAAAATCCCATAGTCAGGGACTGAGAACACCCTATGGGTTGCTGGTTTGATTGATGTTTAAGAAATATGTCATCGCTGTAAGTAGATGCTGACAATGCCCACAGTCACAGAGTATATAGCCTCTGAGGTAACAATTTTTAATCTGAAATTCTTAAAGATCATTTCTAAGTTTAGTTAATTTCAGGATCTGCTATATCCGAGTATCTATTGAAGATAACGAGGGGCCTCCACTGTAGATTAGATAGTCTTAAAGACACAGTAGAGAGGGCATGACCATGGAGCAGATGATTTCATGCAGCTCTCATATTGAATACACCATCCCCTTTATATTAGAGTATTTGATTTAGGGTTACATTGAATTAAGAATTTGGATCCGAATTGAAAATATAAAAACATTGATGTATGTTTTCGAATTCTAACATTTTTTTTTTTGTTATTATTCAAATTTTTATAGAAGTGTTGGTAATTGAAATAAGTTTCCTTTTAATCGAAACTTAATACGTAATAGTTGTCCTTTATTTCCAAATTACCAAGATGAAATTTGATGAAGAAATTGGGTCCAAATTGAAAATTTAAAAACATTGATACAAGAAGTCGAATTCAGAATTCTTGCACTATTATCCAAATTTACATAGAGGTGTTGGTAATTTAAATAAATTTTCTATTTTTTTAAAACGTTATACGTTTCCTTTATTTCCTAAAATCAAAGATTGAATTAAAAATTCGTATCTGAATTGAAAATTTAAATATCTTGATGTAAAGAAATAGATCCTGAAATTCCTTTCACAATATCCAAAAGGTGTCTGTTACAGAAACGAATATCCATTTGTTTCGAAAAGTATTACGTAATAGATAGTGGAAATGAAAATATTAAGAAAGGGTTCGAATCGTGAAACTCCTGTGGTCAAGAGGGATTTGCTATCAAAACGAATATCCTTTTTTCCATTTCAAAACGTTATTTCATTTTCCTTTTTATTTCGAATCGAAATTTTTAAAATCTATAGATTAAAGTGACGATTTTTAAAATTCCTTTAATAATATTAAAAGTGTCCAAGGGTGTTGTCTAAATATCCATTTTCATTTCAAAATGTAATACGTAATAGCTCTTTAATATTTCCTTTTTGACTTTATTTTCTCTACATATTTTTTTGTCATAGTCCTTTTTAACACTCTTTCTACTTTCTTGATTACAGCCGCAGCAACAACAACAACAAATACTTACATGCATTTCAATATCCACATAACCATTTAGCATAGAAATTGCACCGACAGCCATATTGCGTTCCAATAGCTCTCGGGAAGTGCGCAAGAGGCCACGACTAATCACTGAGAAGGCCATGATGATGATGATGTGGGGGAATTATAAGTTTCGATTTAGTTATTTAAACTTTTACACAGGTTTTTAATTTAATTTATTTCCTTTTTTCAAATTTTCACACAATTTCTTTGCAGATCTCCTTTATTTTTTGTAAAACCAAAATTCTGGTATTTTTCTTCAATTCCATTTAATTTTTTATGGAGTGAGTTGTTTTTTTTTTTTCTTATTTTTTGGAGTTTTCTTTTAACCGTTTATTTTTTATTTTAAATGTTTTTGAATACGTTTTCAAGCGTTCCAAGACGTCTGTTTGCCACAACGTTCGAATGTGTTTTGATTTCAATGCTGGAATTTAGTTTGCCAAGAAAACAAGCTGAGCAGCCAGGCAAACAAAAACAACAACGAACAATACGACGACGCTTCTTTTCGGTTGTTTACAGCGGCTGAGGTCCGTCCCATACATGCACATGGTGCCTCATGGCTGTCGCAGCCATCCAGTCAGTCACACAAAGCCATATCAATAACCCTCCTCTACATTGTTGTTGTTGTTCTTGTTTTTTTCTTTAGTTACAGCTTTCCATTGATCATAATGATGATAATGATGTTGATCATCATGTTTATCGTGTGTGTGTGTGTGGTGTGGTGTTTGTTCCAGACAATATCAGAAGCATGACAACGACAGAGAAAGACCAGGAGGCAAAGGGGTCTTCGATCCAAAATGAAAACAACAACGAAAACCGGCAAACAAAAACAACAATGAATTCAAAATCGAAATGAAAGAAACGTGTGTGCGTTTGTGTTCATACAACCCAGAATGGAGGCGAATGGAAAGACTAAGAGACAGACAGTCAGTCAAGTAGCTGCAATGTATACCATGTAATGTGGAGTGGAATTAAGAAGGGAGCAAAGTCTAAGATTAATGGAGCAGGGTGGGAGAAATATTGTTCTTATGCTCTACAAAGGTATTGAATGGCTGTGAAAAGGGGTATTGGACTCCCACATGACACTTCCCGGTACATAAATAATGTATTTTTGTAGATATTTTTTCCATCATCATTTTTCCATAGAAAAATTTCATTGATGAACATTTTTCCATAGAAAAATTTTATTGGTGAAGATTTTTCCATACAAAATGTCATTGGTGAACATTTTTCCATAGAAAAATGTCATTTGTGAATGTTTTTCTATAGAAAAATTCCATTGGTGAACATTTTTCTACAGAAAAATTAAATCAGTGAACATTTTTCCATTTATTTATGAATTTTTTCATTGGTGAAAATTTTTCTATAGAAAAATTCCATTGGTGAAAATTTTTCTATAGAAAAATTCCATTGGTGAAAATTTTTCTATAGAAAAATTCCATTGGTGAAAATTTTTCTATAGAAAAATTCCATTGGTGAAAATTTTTCTATAGAAAAATTCCATTGGTGAAAATTTTTCTATAGAAAAATTCCATTGGTGAAAATTTTGCTATAGAAAAATTTCATTGGTGAACATTTTGCTATAGAAAAATTTCATTGGTGAACATTTTGCTATAGAAAAATTTCATTGGTGAACATTTTGCTATAGAAAAATTTCATTGGTGAACATTTTGCTATAGAAAATTTCATTGGTGAACATTTTGCTATAGAAAAATTTCATTGGTGGTAAATTTTCTATAAAAAAAATTTCATTGGTGAAAAATTTTCTATAGAAAAATGTCATTGGCGAACATTTGTCCATAGAAAAAATGTCATTGGTGAAAATTTTTCCAGAGAAAAATGTCATTGGCGAACTTTTTTCCACGAAAATTTCATTTGTGAACTTTTTTCTACAAAAAAATTTCATTGGTGAACATTTTTTCCATAGAAAACTTTCATTGGTGAACATTTTTTCTATAAAAATACTTTCGTTGGTGAACATTTTTTCATAGAAACATTTCATAAGTGAATTTCATTGGAGAACATTTTCCGATAAACAAATTTCATTGAAGATCTATTTTTCTACATAAAAATTTCGTTGGTAAACTTTTTTCTACAGAAAATTTTCATTGGTGAATACCTTCTGCAGAAAAATTTAATTGGTGAACATTTTCTATATAAGACTTTCATTGGTGAAGCTCTTTCTATTGAATTGGTTGAATCTTTGTATGGAAAACTTCCATTGGCAAACCTCTTTCTACAGAAAAAAATCATTGGTGAAAAATATTAATAAATTTCATTATCTTTATATACCTCCAATAATTTTCCAAACATCACAACTCAACATTCCAAATGTCCATAGCATTTCTCTTTAGAAGGGTTCGGACTCCTTAGATTCCAATACAACATTCCCTTAAGTTCAGATTTACATCCCCAAGTTCCTAAATTTATTTACACTTTCGCAAAATCCTTCAGCATAACCCTCGGTTTGTGTTGATTAAACTCAATTGATTTTGACGACCTTGATTGCTAAACACGCACACTTGAATTATCCCAAAATTTTTTGCACATCTCCTGTGCCCATTTCTAGCTCAACCTCAATTGAATTAATCAAGTTTCCGTCTTTTTTTATATGTCAGTTATGCCTGTCAGCTTAAATTTTAAGTCCAACAGCAGCAATACCAATTGAACATTTGCCTGTGATGCGTTATTTTGCACGTAGCCGTCATTTAAATGAATTGAGAGCTGCTTATTCTTCTCTGTGTGTTACTGTTTAAAACTCACAGAGAGTCATAGCCGTTATTGATGCATTCGACATTAACCTGTGTACTCTCAGAGAGTGTAAGGTGTTTTTAAAAAGAAAAACCCACCATGACGTTTTGACCTGCATGTTGTTGTTGTTTCTTCTACGAATTGTTGTTATAACAAGTCGAGTTTTATTTTTATTTGTTGTTGTATTAATTTAAAATACCATTGTTATTGCCTTTAATTCTTGGATCACATACTATTGAACTTCTGCTTCCTCATGGTTAGGATGACATGAGAACTGTACGGTCATGAGAACACGTCTTGCAATGAGAGAGGTTTGTCGAGATTTAGTGTGGCTTCTTTCTTTATTATATTTACATTGTATCTCTCTTAAGACTAAGTAAACATTTTATGACTTCTTAAAGATTAAATTAAATGAAGTACCTTCTTTAAAAAAAATCATTAAATGTTTATTTAGTCCCCAGGGAGCATAGTCATTATTGTTTATCTTTCTTCTTTGAATGTAATTTGATACTCTCTGTAATGATTTGTCAAGTGTAGCTCTTAAAGTAGTGACAATGAAGTTGAATGTTTCTAGTGTTGCCAACTAATTTAAACAAGAAAGGGCGCCATATGAAGTCGTGTTGTTTAATTTTTCTAATTGGAGTATTTCATAACATTGTGTTCTGTTTAGTTCCCTCCAAAAATTAATACAACATTCTATTCTCTGAGAGGATTTGTTAAGTGTAGCTCTTTAAGAAGTAACAATAAAAAGGAAATGTATTTAGTGTTGCCAACTTATTTAAATAAGAAAGGGCGCTACATGAAATCATATCTTTGTATGAACTATCAAACAAATCGAGTTCGAGTTGAAAATTTGGAATGAAAAATTATTCAAATTTGTAAAAATTGTTGAAAAACGCATATTATAATAACCTTCTATTGACGTCGCATAAGAAAACATATAAAAATCTACTTATATTTGAAAAAACATTTTTTTTTGGATTTTTAACATATCAATGTTCCCAAGCGTTGATGCATCTACCTGTATTCTTCTACCATGCTATCTACCTAACCTGCATGAGTGCAGCATATCAAATTCTCCCAACTAATCCAATTAAGAATGCAACACACTTCCAGTTTATTGACTTCATTATGCTCAAGCGATACCAATTGGGAGAGATATGAATGTAAACATGCTGGAAAGTACTGGAATATTTGTTTAAAATTCCAGAAACCAAAGAATTTCTTTTTGTGTTATGTAACGTGTCTGAGCGACGAATTATGTTATGGTATCTCGTTTAACATGTGCCAGATACTCCAGATACTCGTTATGCCATTTCAATGGTTATATACCGGTTTTATGTTGTTGACGTACAGTGCAATGCGTTCGTAAAGATTTCGAAAAATCATAGTTTTTTTGGGTATTATTTGATTTATTTAACCTTAATTTAGCATTATTACAGCGTGCCACACTCCTCATGTAACTGGGGAGTGAAATATGACCCACATTTAATGACAAGTACTTACATGAACATGTTTACATTTCTACTTAGCAGGCATATGACAATGTCAATGGGTCTCTGAGTACACAATGACTACTTCGATAGGGCAAACACTCTCTTTCACATGATGAGAATGAATGGTGTCCATCTCTGGGTCACTATTTTGGTATGAAAATCTAATTTTATAAATAAACAGTTGAATCAGCTGTTAAGGCATGGTAGAATTAAGGAGGTAAAGTCATGTAATCATATGTTTAAAATTTGTTTTCAAAATTATTCATTTGACATGTCATTGTCAAAATTGGTATTTCTAAATCTATTGAATATATACAAATCAGAGATGGTAACCTGTTTTCTAAGTAGTGAAATTTGACAAGGTAAATTACAGAAAATTCAGAGATGGGTATGCTTATTTGTTTATTTTTTCAGATACACTTTGCCTTTATGGATCTTTTTCATTGGCTGTTTAACCATCTGCCATCGTCATTTCAATATTTCAACAAACCTAACAACGACGTAATTTATTGTCATAGGTCTTTTGTTATTGTTGTTAAGAGGGTTGGTTACTTCATTATCAGCATCTAGCAAAATTTTCCTTACATTTTTGCCAATATGCTGCCGAAACAACAAATAAGGGTGTACGTGCGTACTTCCAAATACACACAACTTACTACAATGGCCACGGGCAGAGTATGGCTCGGCCGGAACGTACACATGTTTTAAAACATAAGACGAATTTAACTAGAACGCAAAATATTTAATTTCTCAGCCATGGAAGGAGGGGGAAAGATAGTGAGGGTGATAGAAATTAAAAACATGCTGTTTAAATATCAAAATTGAATTATTTGAAAAAATTCCCAGATTATCTTTTACAAATTTCATAAAAAAAATATATAACTAACAATATTTATTTTTTTTCTTATCACTTTGAGAACCAAAAACTAAATATAATATTTTTTCTGTGATCCATTGAGAAAGTTCTGTGTTGTTTATTTGTATTGTATATAGTTTACAAAGGTCTGGCCGGCACTATAATGCAAGATAAACACACATAAATAAATTTCAACATAATTTGGCCCTAAAAACAACGACCTCTGCAATAAAACAACAACAACGACACCACAGACGAACGATATTTAGTGTTTTATTTATATTTTATTTTTTATTTACACAAGATTTATAATTTTGTT